GTCATTCGGGTCAGTCGTATCGTCACTCGAAGGATGTACTTTCCGATGAGCTTAGGCGAAAGATCATTAAACAGGTTTTTTTTTATGGGTTTTCTATAAATTTTTGTTGTTTATTTCTTGATTTATCATGTATGATTTTGTTATGAGTTATATTTGGTACGTTGGATTGGAGTGGATTGAAAAGACACAGCACTGTAATTTAATTTATGATCTAGTCTAGTGCAGTTTTGGGCGATTGAGAATTTATATGGGATCAAAAGTTTACTCAAGATTTGGAAGAATGAGCATTCTTTGCATCAAAATGATGAATCAACATTGAAATATCTAGGAGAATAATTATATGGTTTGAAAAAAAGTCTGTACTGAAAAAATTGTTTGTTTTTGAATGTCATATCTCGTAAAACAAAGACGCGTCAAAAATTTGATTGGTCGATTGATTGACAATCAGGGTATTCTCATTGTGATTGTGTTCGTCATTTTCTTAAATGCAGATATCATTTATTATCTTAGTATCACATTTTGACTCATCTAAGATATCTGAAGGAGAAAACATGTTTCTCCAAAATTGCTACTTATGAGAGGGTAATCTGGACATTTACCATACCTTAAGTTGGTGAACGTTACGTGGCAGCTCCTGATGAGTTAATACCATATAACTTGGATCTGTGTTTCTTTTGACCGTGTGTGGACCGTTCGATTGGATGAACGGTGGAGATCATAATATGGCTGGCTCTTGGTCTTCTAGAGTGCACGGCTGGGAGTGAGTTTTAATACTGGCCTTGGAATATCTCTCATCTCTCTCTCTCTCTGTTTTCTGGGAGAATTTTTTCCTTCCTCCTTCTTGGTCCTTAGAATCTGGAGGTTGTTATTCTCTTGTTAGATTCTTGTAAATCTTGTGTGCTACAGTAACTAGGAGGCATTTTGTATAGGCAACCTGTTGTATTTAGAGTTGGACATGGTCCTGTTCGGGTTCGCTTCTATTCAGTTCTGTATTATAATTAAATTTTTTAATATATACAAAGTTATATTAATTTAATTAATGATAAGTTCAACATTAGCTCTTACAAAATAATATAGTCCAATCTTATGTGTCTTTTACGTTTCTCTTCGTTGAATTCGTCATAAATTTGATTATTAAAATCACAGAAAAAGAAAGATAGCGAGCTCAAAATAATTAAGAGAGATGTTGTAGAACTATAATTCGATTTTCTCCAGTAGAAACGACACTACAGTAGAGAAATAGACTTGAATAAAATTGAGGTCAATTTGATTAAATTGATTTTGAACTGAAAATTAGAAATAGAAAAATCATATTTTGTGGTTTGAACTAAATTAACTAGCTAACAAATTTATTTAGAAAAAATAAAATAACTTTGCTTATTTAAAATAAATAAATTTAAAAAATTAACGAGATTCGGTTCTTATTCGATTTTTCGGGTCTTGGCCTAGAACCAGAACCGAACCGTACCCGTCGGTTCTTGATTCAAATATCCGTTCGGGTATTTAATTTGAGAAGAACCGTCGGGTTCGGTTCGAGAGTTTTGTCCAGCCCTAGTTGTATTTGTGCTGTTGTGGCCAGTTTGTGAGGAAGCAGTGTTGTGTCCAGATTTGAGATCCATTTGGATCGATGATTGATCTGGTTATGCTCTTTGGTTCTCTGTACTATACTGTCTCTGGGGGGTAGAATTGCACTAATGGATTGGGCTGACTCGGAGCCCCCCAGATTAAGCCATTCGGGCCGGATTGGGTGAACATTTTTGTGTGTTCCTTTATTTTCTTGCACTTTACGTTCGTGTTGGTAATGTTGCTCTCGGTTTTGGGTATAAATTCCCTACAATATCCTTCAATCATTTTTATATACCATATCTGGTAAAATAAAGACGAGTGTCAATACTTTGATTGGTTGATCGAATGACAGTTAGAGAGGTATTCTTATCGCTCTTATGTTCTTATTTTTCATTTTCTTCATTTTCATTTTCTTCAATTTTGCTATAATTTATGGCCTTTTGACTCATCTAACATATCCTTTAATCATTTTTATATACCATATCTCGTAAAATGAAAACGCCTGTCAATACTTCGAACCACGATGAATAACAAATAGGGTATTCACGTTATGCTTCCACTCGCTGTTATTCTTCATTTTCTTGAATGTGCTGTCATAGAGGTGTGCGTTTTGGCTCATCTAGCAAATCCTGTTATTCAGTAGTCATTGGTAAACTTGATCCTAACTAGAAATTCTTTGAGTAATTCAAGAAGGGCTTGTGACAGGTAGAATACCAATTTAGTGATATGAGCATGCTAGCTAACGAAGCTCTGGTGAAACAAGTTAATAAAGATCCCGAAGTCTTTGGTGAGGATCTTGGAACAGCATATATAGAATTGAACTTACAACATCATTGATTAGTTTGCCAGTCTGATTTCTGACTTGGATCTTAAATCTTACCATTTTCACAGTTCCAATAGCTGTTGTTGCAGCTACAAAGAAACTCAAATCCCTCAACATTAGCCATCAATTGGTGGCAAAAGCTCTTCGATCTTCTTCAAAGTTGGTTAGTACTTAGTTGTATTCGTTCTTCTGAAGAAAATAGATGCATTGATTTTCTGATCTCTTCTTTTGGACAAACATTTTGCGCTCGTTACCATGTTATGCAGATTGTGAGCAATGATAGTAAGAAGGTAAAACGTAAAAATCCCTTCACAGATAAAGACAGAGAGGAGCTGCAGGTACATATAAGCTTTTCCTCGTGTTGTTAAACAAATCGAAAACGTTCTTCTTATTGTAAATTTTTTATGATTCATCAATGCAGTTGCGCACTGTTGTAGCTGAGAATCTACCTGATGATCACTCGCATCAGAACATAGAAAAAATATTTAATGTGATCGGAAGGTGGCGACATATCCTCCTATTTGATTTCTTTTATATGGCATACAATTGTAGACTTATCGAATGTATTTGCTTATTTTCAGTGTCAAAACAATTAGAATATGTCAACCACAGGAGCCCAATTCTTCGCGGTCTAAAAGCGATTTTGTCATCAGTCACAAGGTATGAAGAACCATATTTGACTATTTTCTTTCGTTTTTCAGTTTGTGCTGATTGATGTTCACTTGTTCCCTTCTTCTTGCCTTTTCTTTTGAAGCTCCATGCACTAATAGAGTACGAGAAAACCGAAGCAGCTGAGAGAGCAGTAAACATTTTTATCCTTTCTCGTCTTCTTTTCCTAGATTTCTTTTTCACTTTCCTGATCTTGCAGCATTTATTGAACCTCTCCAGGCCGAGAAATTAAACGATGAAAGAAATTGGAGGGAAGGCTTACGTGTGAGGTGCCTGCTTCGGCGTTCGGTACGATCATTTAATCTAAAAACACTCACTTTTTGAGATTATCAGTTTCTCTATGCTTTTGTTTTGAATAATGTGCATGCAGCCAAAGTCCGTGCTCAAGAACAGGAAGTCAGATTTCGATGGCTATTTAGATGAGGATGACGGACCGACCCTTGAACTACAAGAAGACTCCTCTCCTCAAAATACCTCGGGATCAGTTGAGGTCACTGTTTCTCTAGTGCAACCATTAACGTTTAACACCGTTGAGTTTCTTACTAAATTTCTTTAACTGTAGGTGTAACTCAGCCCCTGTATGACAAACATTATTTGAAAACTGTTTTTTCCACGTACTCATTTTTAATTACAGGTTCATACAATAAAATATTCTGCATACAAATCCAAAACGTTTCCCCACTTTTTAACCACACATTCTCCTAAAGATCACTATTCAAAGCATTGTTTTTCCTAAATAATGATTGTAAAAATGGGGATTAGCTCTCTCGTTCATACTATGAATTTCTGTTTTCAGAGTAAGGCAAACCATTACCGTAAAAATAATAGCACGTTTGGTTAAGCTTAAAAGCACCATTTTGACAGCTTCAAGTAACCTTTTCTACTTGAAAGTAAGCAAAAACCATAACATCTGATATTAATTAACGAGTTAATTTTTGTTGTAGATTGAAGAAACTTCCATTGGGTCGAAGCAAACTTGGGCTAGAGGCCCAGGGAAATCTAGGCAACGGAATCAACTTCACAGCACGCGCAGCCTACCAACTCCGTCTTCTCACCCGGGCGGCTCCTTCGTGCGTGAAGTATCTTCGAGACAGACTGCAAAAGGGCCAAGAATGCCAGATGGAACCCGAGGTTTCACTATGGGCAGAGGGAAGCCATTTAGTCTCCCCGTCTTAATGTAATCCTGTTAAACTCAGTGAGGGTATATGGGTCTTTTCATTTTGTCTTCCTGATAGTCAGTATAAACTATTTATGAATTCTTTACCCTTTATTTATTTAACTAGTCGCTATCACGTACGTTGCACGAATTTTGTATTTAACGTATTTTTATTAGTGTATAAATTTTAGTTTTTTTGGAAAGTTTTTTAAACAATATTTAAAAATATTTTCATGATATAAGAAAAAAATTGTAAATTATTTTTACAATTGCATAGCAGTATGTTATCTTGAAAAAATATGCTCCTATATTTCATGCTTGAATAAAAAATATACAAACTATTTTGCTTGTATTTTTTGATAGTGTTGATATGATTGAATTGAATGTGAAGATTATATTTCTAAATTTTGTGTAATTCAATATTGTAAAATTGAAAAAAAAAACTCTCTGCATAGTGCATAGAGAGTTGAACCAAGTGCGGAGTAAAAATAAAAAAAGGTTCGGAGAGAAAACACTTCTTCACACAGTGCGGAGAGAGTTGAACCATTTGCGGAGAGTTGACAATCTTTTAGCACAGTGTGAAGTAAAAAAAAAAAAACTTCCCGCACAATATGTAGAAATGACAAACCAACTCTCCGCACAGTATGGAGAGCAAAAAAAAAACTCTCTGCACTGTGCGGAGAGAGTTAATCTTTTCGCGCAGTGCAGAGAGTTTTGCCATACGTAGAGAGTTAAACCACGTGCGGAGTAAAAAAAAAGTGCGGAGAGAAAAAAACCTCACTGAACAGTGCGGAGAGAGTTGAACCATATGTAGAGAGTTGACCAACTCTTCGCACAGTGTGGAGTAAAAAAAACTATCTGCATAGTCCGGAGAGATGACAAACTAGCTCTCTGCACAGTACAGAGAAAAAAACTATCCGCATAGTGCGGAGAGTTGTTTTCAAATTCCTTAACTACCAGTCAAATTTCAAGATTGTAAATTTTTCGTATATACAACGAAACAGAGTCGAAAAACATGGCTCAAAATCAATTATGTCTTTTTCAAATTCCAATCACAACTCAATTTCTGAGCATGCAAATCATATTTGTGGTATTGAAAAAGAGCTTTCTCGTGATTCATATAATGAAACAATATGTGAATATTGCAAAGAAGTAGATATTGATAGTACCATAACATTGTTTTCATGAATGGAGGCTCTAGGATACCACCCAAATTCAATATTTTACACTTGCTTGATAACAGCTATTGGACATTAGAAGCGGATACAATTTTCAATGAAATTATACTTTCGGGTTGTAGGTCATGAGTTAGAGTGTTTAATGCATTGCTCAAAAGTTGTTTAAGAAAAGACCTCTTGAAACTTGCAGATAAAGTTCCGAGAGTTTTTGTATTTCTCTTCACAGTGTGCAGAGAGATAATTTTTCATCTTTCCGCACTTTGCAGAGTTTTTTTTCTCATGTGTGGAGATTTTTTTTTGTCTCATGGAGTTTATATATACTAAAATTATTATTATTTTTTTATGTTGTTGGCATGATGCGTGTGTGGAAAAATATTTGTCAATTTCCATAAACAAAATTCTTCACAAAATGCAAAAAATAAAAATGCATAATAAATCTTCTTATTATGCTAATAAAGTTACAATAAATTTTTTTTTACAAATAATATAAAAAAATTATTTTTATCTTCAACAAAAAAATACATTTAAAAATTAGCAATTTCATAACCATTTTTTTTTAATTCTCGGAAATACAATTATAAAAAAGAAAACAATATTGAATTATAACATTTAATACTTAAAAAATTTAATATTAAATAAATTTTATACATTTATAACAAATTATAAATTTATATATGCAGCTTACCGTAATTGTAGGCAGCCTATCGTATTTGCAGCCTATCATATTTGCAAGCAACTTATTGTGTTTGCACCTTCTCGTATATGCTGCCTACCGTATTTGCAACTTACCGTATTTTCAGCCTACTGTATTTTTATATACCGATTTTTGCACTTACAAATACCGAGAATGCAGAACACCAACCTACCGTATTTGCAAACAATTTATCATATTTTCACCTTACCGTATTTGGAGCTTACAGTATATGCTGTCTATCGTATTTGCAGTTTACTGTATTTTTATATACCGATTTTTGCACTTACAAATACCGAGAATGCAGAACACCGTACATTTACTTACAAAACCGAATTTAAAAAAAATTCAGATTTTTATTTTTTCAACATATGCATAAAATAAATATTAAATATATATGAAGCACAAAATATAAATGCATATGAATATGATGCTCAATCTTCAATTTTTCAATATTGAATTACACAAAATTTAGAAATATAATCTTCACATTCAACTCAATCATATCAACACTATCAAAGAATACAAGCAAAATAATTTGTATAATCTCGTATATTTCTTATTTAAGTATAAAATATACAAGTATATTTTTTTCTAGATGACACAATACTTTATGCAATTGTAAAAATAATTTACAATTATTTCTTTATATCATGGAAATATTTCTAGATATTGCTTCAAAAACTTTACAAAAAACTAAAATTCATACACTAATAAAAATACGATAAATACAAAATTCGTGCAACGCACGTGACAGTCACTTTGCGGAGAGGTTTTTTTTTTTCACTTCACACTACGGAGAGTTTGCCAACTCTCCACACTGTGTGAAGTTTTTTTTCATTTCGCACTATACGGAGAGTTCGCATAGAATGTCATTTCCACATAATGCGGAGAGATTTTTTTTTTTTACTTTGCACTGTATGGAGAGTTTGCCAACTCTCCGCACATGGTTTGTCATCTCTCCGCACTATGCGGGAAGTTTTTTCCTTCCTTTTTTACTCCGCATATGATTTGTCATCTTTTCGCACTGTGCGAAGAGTTTATTTTTATTTTTTTTAAAGCTTATGTGAGAAGATTTTTTTTCTCATGACAGTTTATATTTACTAAAATTATTATTATTTTTTAATGCTAGTGGCATGATGTGTGGAAGAACATTTCTTTGACATAATTATTTTTTTTAATACTAGTGGGATGATGTGTGGAAAAACATTTATTTTACATAAATAAAATGGAAAATAAAAAATGACCCCCTTTTTATTAGAAGTTAGAAATGTGGAGTGAGGTGGTATGTCAAACTTTTTTCCACCTATTTTTGGGAATTCTATGTACTGAATAATAATTTGTCGTCGTATTTCAATTTCTTGTGAACTCCTTATGATGGATTCGCGATTCTAAACTTTCTTTGTGAATCTCTGTTTCTTGATTTCTTGGAATTGTACAATTCTGCAGTAAGAATTGAAACTTTACTTGAGCCATACTACTAGAGTTGGAATAGCCTCGATTCTTTATGAAAATGCTAGTTCATAATGACACAAACTGGGTATGTTTGTCACGATCAACTCGACTGGAAATAAGGAAGTTGGTCGTCCATTTGAGCAAACTATTCCAACGGGCTTTGGCTTATTGCACAGTTCGGACATAATCTCCGTATTATATCCGTGGAGAAAAAAGAAAATCTATAGAAAATATATGTTCAGGGCCGGCCTCGAGAACTTTGAGACCCTAGGTGACTCATTGTTATTAGACCCTTGAACGTAAAAAAATCTTACATGCGCAAAAATACTTAAATATTTAAATAAATCATATATTTACATTTTAAACAAAAACTTGGTACGATTCAAAAGATAAAGTAGCAAATTCAAGTTATTTTCGATAAATCATATTAAGGACATTATGGACTCGTGAAAATTTTATTTTGGATAATAAAATTCAAGTTATAACTTATTAAAGCAAACTATTGAGTGGATAATATTGCTTTTCAAATTAAATCATATTACCATAATAATATTAGACTCGTTTGATATTTTGTAATTAATCATATATATTAAATTCAAGAAAATTTTATTTTGGATAAGATTAAACTGAGTTGGAATCGAGCAAATAAATTATTGTTAAATAAATTTGTAATTAAATCCATCTTTTAAATTTATACTAATTTAATTGGGTTTTTACTGTAGTTTTCATTTGGAGGCCCCCATTAAAAGCGAGGCCCTAAGCATATGCCGTCATTTCTATCAAGTCATATTTAAATAAGGTACCGCTATTTACATTTACGGTTATTATATATATTCACTTTTAAAAATATAAATTATATTATATTATATTTTAAATCTTATATAAATTTATTTATATAAACATATATAAAAATAAATAAAAATGTATAACTCTAAATTCATTTTGAATTGGTTCCATCTCAAAACCAACAAGTGAAACTCAGAGATTTTTAAGTGCTCATTTTCCCTTTCCATGTTAATGATTCCTCTCAAACCCAATCATAATAAGTACAAAGACTTCATATGCTCATCTATTAGTTTAGTAAGTTACAATTTATCAATCTAGAATAAGCTCCAATTCATATTTCTTTAATACAAAATGATACATCAGAATTTTGGTATGCTCGAACACATTATCCTGAGGACTTTCCACAGGATTCCTTTGCAATCCCACCTGTAGTGATCAAGCATATATTTCCTCGAGGTATAATGCTCGAGCACTTCCAGTCTTGCTGCTTCAACATTTTATGATCAATGTCCTCGAGCATGAGTAGTCCTCGAGTATATGTTCTCCTCATAGCTTACGATTGTTATTATTGACCCTTTAGAATTCCTATGTAATTGGAACTCTAACTCAACTATATTACCTAATACTTGACTCCCGCAAGGATTCTATCCCAGGCATAATTATGACATTGGTCCAATTCCTTCACCTAATAGGACTCTGTTGGATAGAGATACCCAACTAGTTGAGTCCCACTAGGAGAAGGTTGCTTACTACTATAAATACAGGACAACGGGTCATTGATCAGGTATGTTCTCATTATTCACCAGTTTATAGCCTCACGCACATAATTTTCTTTTTGACTTAAACATCGGATGGGCGACGAGAACACAACTCGTTGCCTTTGTTTCAGGTACTGGAAGACTACGATCGTGCTCATTCAAAGTCCTCAAACTCGAGAAATCAAAAGGTAGGATTTTTGGTAGCATCATTGGCGCCGTCTGTGGGATATGCTACCAAAAGCCATGACTAACACACGATCAGTTCT